AGTTTAAGGTAGCTGTCGTTAAACCTATACATAAGAAAGGCGAAAAAAATAGAGTGGAAAACTATAGACCGATTAGTTTAATATCAAATATAGCAAAAATTTTTGAAAAAGCTTTGAAAGGGAAAATAACAAAATTTGTCAATAAAAATAATATATTACGTAATACACAATTTGGATTTAGAGAAAAATGTTCTACTAACGATGCTATTGCATTATTGACTAGAAGGATTTCCAATAGTTTAAACGATAACCAAAAATGTGCCTGTGTATTTGTAGATCTAGCAAAAGCTTTCGACACAGTCAGCCATCAAAAATTGTTATCAAAGCTTTATGATATGGGATTTAGAGGTAAAGCCCATTTACTCCTTAAAAGTTACTTAACCAGCAGACAACAAATAGTTGAAGTTAATGGAAATAGAAGTGCACCACAAGAAGTTATCTATGGGGTGCCTCAAGGTACAGTATTAGGACCCATATTATTTATATTATATTTAAACGATTTACTTACCTTAAAAACGGATGGCAACATAATCTCATTTGCTGATGATACTGCTCTCTTTGTTAAAGGAAACGATTGGTTGGAAGTGGAAACTAGCCTAAAACGAGATTTACAAAAAATAACACACTGGTTTGATGAAAATCTTTTAACAATTAATTTAGACAAGACAGTGCATCTACCATTTTATAATTTTAAAAATGTCTTAGCGAATTTAAATCCTTTAAAAATAGATCTACCATTCCGTAGTACATCCTGGTCTTTACCTGTGTCATGTAGTGCCAAATATTTAGGAGTAACCATAGACTCAAATCTAAAATGGAATGTACATATTAATAATCTGGTGAAAAGAATGAGATCACTATTATATATGTTTAAGTTAACCTCAAAAATACTTAGTGAGCGTGATCTTATTTCACTTTACTACGCCCTAGTTCAATCTATATTAAATTACGGGATAATTGGATGGGGAGGAGCTTACACTACTACTTTGCAACCTTTAGTGGTAATTCAAAAACGTCTGATTAAACTAATATTTAAATTAAATCTACGATTTCCCACTGAAGCCCTTTTCACTTACAGTAACTTATTAACTATAAGAAAATTGTATTATAAACAAGCTTTGATTCAACTTGTAAATACAAAGGAAATAAATACTATGTGCCGCCAATATAACACAAGATTTCATCTAAACAATAAGATTATCTTACCGAAATGTAGAACAACCCTCTCGCAACGCAGTTATTCATACGTCGGATTAAAAGTTTATAATTCACTGCCTCAAGAACTAAAGTCAAAAATTTATTATAAAAACTTTAAAACTATTATTGCGAAATGGATTTTAAATGAAACTATAGATATAATCGGTAGCAATTAAAATAAAAAAAAAAAAACAAATTAAGATGAAACAAACTAAAATTCTATAATAAAATTGAATATTCATATACTTACCCTAAAACTATCACTTGCTTTTGAAATGTATTGTTCAGCTAAAAGGTGTGGAATTATTTTTTGGGTTATAACATTTTTAATTGTTTTTTTCTCTCTTCCTTTCTTTTTGTCATGTAAAATGAAAAGAAAAAAATCATAGATGACGAGGCAAGCTTATTGGTTACCTACCTGACATACAGTGCCTGAGAAGCTGTCAAGTTTATCCTTAGCTTCTCATTTTCTGGATGTCCGGTACTCAGTGTGGCTTCCTCTGTTCATTCATTCATTTTTTTTTTTTATTATAAAACAATAATTATATGAGCTGTATTGGTATTGTTATTATTACCTAAATTGTTTTATAAAGCGATACAAGTATTTAATACTTATCGCTTCGCACCACTTTATTTAATATTTGTTATTTTTGTTATTTTTATTATATCATATTATATTTTTATGGTACTTCTTTTTTAGGAAGAATCATATTTTTTTTATTGTATATATAGATATGATTCATATATGTAATTTATTATTGAATAAAGTTATATTATTATTATTACACACAGGTTCTCGTACTTACTGTGGCATCCATGAAATATCATCGATTGTGGCATCATGGAAAATACCCATACTACTCGACTCAGAAAAAAATGGGCCACATAGTGCTATACTCCATTATTTATTACACTCATCCGTTTAGAAGCTACGTCCGTATACTTTATCCCCATTTGTGACATCGATGTCACATCTATTTTGGTTCGTGTGTATATCTGAGATGTCTCAACAAATGTATATATGAGTTTGGATGTCATAACAAATATACACTTGTGTTTGTGTGTAAGGTTGGATTGTTTGTCATGCATAACACACTGCGCGGGTGATCTGACAAAAGCTCTTATCTGATATTTACTTTAAGGATGCAATAAAAATAATATAACAAAAGTGACTTTAACTTGAAAGTTTTTATTTCTTTTTATTTATATTTATTTATTCTTATTTATTTTTATTTATTTTTATTAATTCTGATTTATTTATATTTATGTATTTTTACAATATCTCCCATTTCTCCCTCCTTAAAATGTAAAAATCGAAAACCTTAAAATACGTTATTATACCTTATGATGAGTAACTAAAATTCCAATTTTCAAGTTCCTAACTTTAAAAACATCAATACGCCCATTCAAACTCTTCCCCGTTTCCTTCCCTTAAAAGATGAAAATCCACAAACCCTGAAATACGTCATTACGCTCAAAGCTGTATTTCAAATTTTCATGTATCACAGCCCCTTTTCAAAAAAATCATGTTGACCCTTGCTCTGTGAAAACTAAAAACAAATCTATCCCACAGGAACCTTACATTTTCTGGGATATGTAAATATTATCTATTTCTGTGCCGTTGTACAACAAAATTAAACAATATCTAGATGTGACCAATCTAATTTACAATTTAAAAAAATAAGTTGATGGAAAACAATAAACTACATCGTCGAGCGTGAGAAGTTTCACTACTCAATAAGTAACCACCTATTAAGGTTTGAGATGCGAGCACGCGAATTGATTAAAGACGATGCTTAACTTACACACAATAAAGTTTAATAAAATGTGTATCCTCACGAGGGCGCCACATTACAAGCTCATAAAATGATGTCGCTTGTCGGGATATTGCAGTCGTTTTATTTTTTATACCATGCAGACGTACTTTATCCTGATTTGTGACATCTTATACACAATTCATTAAAACCAAAACACATCTAAAATTTAAAATGTGTCACAGATTTATTATCGAAATATGATTTAATAAATTGATGAATATTTTTGATATACTCTAGTCTTGCTATATTATAATAAGTTTTGCTGTGCGATCGGAGTATAAGAGGTCACAAGTCGAACAGAGACCACTTCACAGGATTATGCACGCACAAAATGCCACAGCAAATGCGGTGCATACACACACATACACACCTACGCACGCACACATCATCCAGAAAATAGTCAAAACGGATTCAGTGGACCCCAAAACGTAAAAATCCGTCGAAAACTGGAGGTCGAAAAAAATCATGATTCCTATACTTTCCTTATCTGTATACAGATCTGACAAGATCAAATAGACGAGCCTGCTTTGCCTATACCAGAATGAAACATTCAGCAATCTCTCACTACATCTCCTTTCGACGCTCTGACACTGCCACTGACGAGAATTTCGAAAGGTCGTATAAACATGGCAAGTCGCGCCAACAACGAGCTTATTTCGTTAGATTTATGTGGACACGACACTGGCTGGTTTTTGGCGCGGTTCAGGCGTAACTCGTTTTATTTACATGCACCTTTATGTTTTATTGTTCATTTTGTTTTAATGTTTTATATTCACAGAATAAAAATAATAAACAATTTATTGAGTAGTTTTTTCCTGTTTCTATTATATCGCTTTCCATTTTCGATAATTTATTTATGCCAAGTATTGTTTATTGTTACTCGTAATCAATCTTATTGCATAATTATAACTATTGGTATGAAAACATTATTTTAACTCACTTTAAAAGTATCCGAGTACTTTTTAGGTGAAAATATCCTAAAAAGTACCCGGATACATTGTAAGTATCCGTATCCGGTACTCGGATACGTTTTTCCTGTATCCGACCCAACTCTGGTGTGTGTGTATACTCGATAACTCATGAATGGATACAGAGCAAAACAACAAATTTTAAATTTAAACTTTAATCCATCCTGCGGTGTACTGATTAAATTTTGGGCATAGTCGGAACATCGTTTTTCTACTTTATGGATTATATCTGTTATTTAGGCTTGGAGAAGAAAATTCTTTAAATAAAAGTTGCTTGTAATATTATTCTCTATAATTTTTGCCTCATACACAATTTTCCTAAAATAATCCGTATTCAAAGATTTTTGTCAAAACGTGCAAAATTCGAATTTTTAGGAAAATTGATCAAATAAAAGTTGTTTGCGTTATCATTCTACATAATTTTTGTTCTAAACCTGATTTCTCTAAAATGGAGCGTAATGGAAAAAATTTGAGGAAAAGTGTAAACTTTTAATTTTTCAGTATTTCCGTTGGCAATATATAAAAAATGTTATTAGTAAGATGTGTGGAAAATGTATGTATTTAGTTCATCCTTTAATTTAAACATACAATAGGTTGTATAATACGATCGGAAAAAGCCTATAATAACTAGACAGGAAAGACACATCAGATTTTTACTGTAATGGGGATTTCTAATAAGTTGTTCCATAAATAAATAAAATATTTTATACCCTTGTCTTATTAGTTTTTAAGGTCTAGATTATTTCTGAAGTAATTTTTATTATTACCAGTGTGAAGCCAAATATATTTTTTTCTGTGGAGACACCTAGACAATGCATTCTTTTCATGTCAAAAAATAAAATTTATCTCCCCTTAAAATAGGCTTGGGTCATTTTTGACTAGTTGTGTGGATCTTATTATATAAGTTAAGGGTTAAAAGTATAATAAAACACAAGAAAAGTAAAATTTTTCTGAATACTTAAATATGAAAATATGTATTTTTTAATATAAAAATCATTAGTAATTTATAACAAAAAAACTGTTCCAATATTTCTTTCGGCCCAACAGCTGCAAGATTAAAAAAAAACAGTTACTTTTTAAAGAAATCTGAAATGTAAACTGAATAAAACACACCTACAAAAATTTTTTATTCAGGGAGATCCCTTTACAGGAAAAATATTAAAAAAACAGAATTTAGAATATGAAAATTGCTCACGGACCAAAATGCAAGTCTAATGTTAAAAAACCTTGTAAAGATCAAGTTGTATACATCTCAAATGTGCATAGTTAGAAGTAGTTGAGGAGCTGGCGGGAAGAACGATGAAAGTGCAAAAACTTTCAAGCACTGTCTCTGTAAATATAATCTTAACTTAGTATATACAGCAGTGCAGCATCGTGTTTAAGTAATTAACAATAGTGGTTAAAAAAAAAAAAAAATATTTTGCTTTTGATTTTAGGAGGAAAGAACGATAATTGTGCATAAAATTTAAACTGAAGAAAATCGGATTTTTAAATTTAGGTCACTGTCTGATGGAAATGGTAAAAAATATATTCTGAACTTAGTATTTACGGTCTCATGTTTTAGTAATTACCAACAAGAATAGGCACAAAGTTTTTTTTATTTAAATCAGTACCAAAAAATTTTTATGATGCATTTTTGGAAATTATTGAAATAGAACAGATTATCATAAAAAATAGATTCTTGTTTTTCCCTTTTAGTATTGGCAGAGGTATTTATGCGATGTTGGCTTTTTTACAGAGACGGCCATGGTTTCAATACAAAGTCACGTTCATCTATAATTCATCAAACACCGGGTACACTCATAGTTTTTCCCGCAACTGACTAAAAATATATTTAGCTATATATGGCAAACCCCTCCTGTAAATGTTTACTAGGCGTAATAGTACATACAAATACCTACAGATTGCGCCATGTATTTCGATTTTCGTAAATTTTGCACACTCATCGTTTTTCCGCCAGTTGTTTTCTATTTCCAAAAAAAATCGGTAAATTCAACGGAAACTAGCAGTAAAATCAGCTTTAAAGGAAAGACCGATTAGAAATATTGTATCAGACAATAAAATATTTTTGGAGTAGACGGTAAACGAGAAGGCGCAAAAATATAAACGGCGCTTAAGTAGGATTTTTTTTATAATTCATAAACCTGTTGGATACAGTGATTTAGATGGATCAAATATAAAACAGTAATTTTTTAACTAATACCCAGTAAGAGATGGAAAGAATCTGGACAAAGATGTACATAAAGTGGGAATTAAACCATGGAAAAATCACAAGTTTGATAGTCACGAATGGAGGAAAATGTTTGGGACGACCAAGGGCCGTAATGCCAATAGATAGAAGAATTACCGTTAAAGCGTTCCAGTACACTTTTCTGGTATCACAACCACATCCATAAAAGATAATTCCAGTTTATATTTGATCCAACTTCATATTTTCGACAATGGCGCCATCTGTCGACCTTCGACATCAAACACGGAATCAACGTAACTTTAAACAACTCGAACTCGACTGTAAACGGCTCTTTAACAACCGCAAGACAACAAAATATAACGAACAACGTATCAAAAATGTACAAAACTTAAAACGACTCGAAGTAACTGTATGTCATTGGTTCTGCGGGGGAGCACGTGCGGGCAATCTCGCTGCTAACCGCTCTAGCCGAGCGATTCCTAATCCTAATTGACGCGCCAGATCGTCGTCGGCGCCTCTGTGACGCACGATATGTCTGTGATTCGCTACCCGTTGCGCGGCTCTTTGAGCAGGTCGCTGCTGTGCGACCATTTGGTGACGATGGTGTTGATGACGATGATGTTGTGGATGATGATGTTGTGGATGAAGTTGATGTTGATGGATGAGTTGGTTTTGTTGCTGGCGCATATCTTCCAATAGTCGTATATGCGGCTCGGGCGGTAGTTGCTTTTTTCTTGTTTCGTAATGTTCTTGGACGTCCAAACTCGGGTCGATCTAAACAAAAAATATATCAAAATTACGTTTATCCAATAATTATTAATAAAAACCTTCAATTTGGTCGGATCCACTTTGGCCTTGGCCTCGGTGGCCGCCGCAATGACGTTCTTCTGATTGAACTCGTTGGTGTCGCTGTATAATGGACAAAGGTTGAACTTGTCGCCACCGATGCCGTTGAAGTGCGTGTAATCCGTGACGGGCTGCTTACAAATGTAACACATCCGGGCGCCGCACGTGCAAGTCATCTTGTTGCAACCTTCCTCCTTGAAGAAGCTCTTGTCGCATTTCCAACATTTCCTTTTGGCCAAAAAAAAAAAACATGATTTAGTATGGTACAATTAAAAATTAGTAATTATGTCGGTTGACGCCCAACGTGCGGCTTTTTTTTGGGGTAAGTTTAACCTATTATTCTACGTATTTTACAAAATTACCTTAATAGCGCCTCGGTCATTTGGTTTTCGACGAACACGCGAGCCTTGACGTCCTCATCCTTTTCCACCTCGTCGCATTTGTACGGCACGTGGTTTTCCTCTTTGCACAATCTACAAGACTCTTTCATGCAATCAGGATTCAAGCATCTAAAAATCTTGTCGCTGATGTTGGGGATGCTGGCGAAATCACAAAACGGACAGGATTCCAGCTCTTCGATGCCAGCCGCTTTCACCTCGGCCAGGGCTTTCTTTTGAGCCAATTTGGAGAACATTTTCGGCGGCAAAACCTACGTAAAATTTAATATTTTTTATTTTTAAATTTTTTTTCGTACTTAATGCCTGACGAAAAATAATGAAAAGCATGACCCACCTTTTGCAAAGTAAGCAACGAAAATTCCTCCGTGCAGTGGTTCAGGCACTTAAAATCAGTTTTCCCGTCACCAAGAGTAACTTCGCAGCTCTTCTGAATGCAACTCTTGCAGAACGTGCAATCCTTCGGACAATAGAAAGTATCTTTCGGCATCACTTCATCGTCATAACAACACTGACACGTGTTTAGCAATCCATTCTCCTTCGCCAACCTCTTCTCATTTTCCTCCTTTTCTTTGGTCTCTTTTATGTAATTTTCTATCTCCTCTTTGTGGGCAACGTACGCTAATTCCTGCAAAACAGCGATGTTTTGCGGGGGATCCTGAAGAATTACCTAAAATAATAATAAATACTATATTAGACCTTATAATAAGTGTACGTTTGTAGAAGATCATCCTGTTGTACGCGAAGTAGCCATATTTATTCCATACTAAAACTGTTCTACACGTACAAAAAAAGTTATACTGATAAATTGCTTACTTGTTTCCTGCGGGTTTTAATCACCAATCCCCTCTTGATATAATCCTTCATAACGTCGTCGCAAAACAGAATCCTATTCTTATTTTCCGACAAAATAGATCTGACATATTTGATAGCTAGCTTGTCGTATCTGTTTTGGAAAAAGGTGCAAATGTACAAATGTGCGTAACCTTCAACTGCATAACTCCTCGTCGGGTCCCTAAAAGTTTTTTCAGGATCGGGGAACAGCTCCACGAATTTTTCGACGCTGAATTCGCTGGTGTACTGCCTAGATTGTGCGGACAATTTCTGCTTCCTCAGATACTCCTTCTTAGTTGGATAGCTTTTTGATTCTCTAGCTTCATTGATGAACTCGTTCAGCTGGTCCGAGTTGTTGCCAATACTTTCGCATTTCCATCTGAGGTATGTGGGATCGGCATCCGGTAGTAGAGCTTTCACAATTTCTAACTGATCTTCTATATCGTACTCCCTAGCCGGACTTGCAGATTTCTATAATAACAATAGTGATAAACTTCATAAGGGCCTACCATCATATAATCACTAGATATATATTCTCACAGACAAAAATATTGCAATTTTATTTTTTTATTTTTTAAATTTATTCTACCCTTATGTAATTTGTATTGTTAAATGTATTATCCAGGAGTGTTTTAGGTATATTGCATTCAGTTGGTTATTAAAAATGTTTACAAATGATTTATCAATAGAAATTGGTTAAGCATTGCATAAAATCAAATAAATATTGAAATGTAAAATATGCAATATTTTTGTCCTCGAGGATATAATGCATGCTCTGTACAACATCTGATTGTTATGTACTTGAAGATATTACTGTCCTGCTAAGAAAACATTTGAAAGGGTTAGAATACAAAGGGTACAAGTACCAATTAAACTATTTCGAGTAAATTGAGTTTAAACTTAACTAGCTACAATAAAATCTGCAAATTAGTTAAGTTTGTAGTTTATGTGGGGGAGGTTTCTTCAGGGAATGCTATTTATAAGGATCGTAAGATGGAAATTGAAATTTTTTTCACAAAAAAAAAAAGGAAATATTTACTTGTACCCTTTGTACATCGACATATTTCAGAATTAAACTCCAAAAATCGTTTTAAGTATTTTACCCAGAACTTTCTTCGATATAGAAATTGTAAAAACAGGGAATACCTAAGTACTTAAATTTTAATAATTTAAAATTAAAACCATCAAACTAAAAACGGTTTTTAACATTTTTCTCTCCATCGATCTTCCTCTTGATCCCACCTGAAATCTCGCTTCGCGCCGGCTCGCTATTCTTCGTCAAGTTCACCGTTATTGAACAATAATGATTGGCTGCTTTTAAAATGGTCCAGTTATACAAACCAAAATGACGATTTTTATTATTTCCATTCAAAGGGGATCTTTTTTTATTAAAAGAGATTCCTTTCAACGACATTTTGAATTTTTAATAACTTATTTAGGATCTGTTATCTTTGGCTTCTAGAATTCTTAGATACCCATTTTAGTCAAAATCTGCCGACTTTTAAAAAAAAATTTAAAAAAAGCTGCTCACCCTGTATATAACTGATCGGAAGTATAACTGGTTTTGAGTCAGAAAAGAACCTTATCTACTGTAATAGAAATGAATCATCAAGAATTTAAAATTAAAAGTTGGTCAGTATAATAAAAATTTGTGTAAATAATAAATTAAAAATATCACCCTGTACATCAGATTTAATTTCAGCATTGTATTTAGATCAACGAGTTAAAATTGTCAAAAGGACATAAGTCAGAAATATCCGGGGAGACGAGAGAAAACAGAGATTTTGGAAAGGTTGTTAAAAAAAAATCTGACGGGGCACCAAATTTTAAATTTTTTTAGGGCTTTTTAATATTCTAAATTCAAAGGTTTCAGTTAAATTATAAAGAATGATAAAAAAGTTATGACATTGTAATAATTAAAAAAGAAGTCAGATAGACAAGTAATATCAATCCGTTGTACGGTGTAGTAGTGGACTGGTTGAATTGTATGGTGACCAGAGGACGGTACAAATTGCAGCTTGATTGCAAAAGGTGGAAATGCAATCAATAGGAGATTTTGTTCCAGTTAGAAAAACAGACATTTTCATGTGAGTAGCAAAGGCTTTATTGATGTGAAAATAAAGGACAGTTTATTGTTTGATTGTGTATTTGCCAGGGGCTGTCTTTACTATTAGTGATACATTTATCAGACAGTAGATTAATTGTAGATATTAGAATATAATTATTTCATTTGATCATAGAAATGTCAAAATTTGATTAAATGTCACTTTAAAAGATACTGTCAGATTTTGAATTAAAGTTTTACTTAAAATTGTCTGATAGATCATAATAATATTAATAATAATAATAAGTAAGTGTGAATGGTGAAGAATGGTTGAAGAATTAAGTTAGGAGATAAGAAAATTTTCTAATGTTCCGAAATTTGAAATTTGTTACAATTTACTGATAATAAATTAGAAACTTTTGTATTTAGAATTTGTCTATTTAAAAAAAAAATATTTTTTTACAGGGTGATACAACTAACAATAATAACAAATAACACATAATATTATTAACTAATTATATAAACTACAGTCAAGGTATTTTATTGTTGGAATTGTTGTTGTTACTATTTAATAAATAAACTAAATAAATTAAATAAACTAAATAAACTAAATAAACTAAATAAACTAAATAAACTAAATAAAATAAGTTTATAAAATATTTTATTTTCTTGAACCGACACCACTGTGATAAAGAGAATCTGCTCTATAAAAAAAATAAGTGTTATATTAAAAAGCTAGCCAAGGTAAGTTAACTTTAGTTGTGTATTTTTTTTTAAATTGTGAGGTTATGAAGTGATAGTGAATTATCATAACACTACATACAAAGTTTTTTACTTTCCTATCTGTATACAGATATAAGGAAAGTATAGGAATCATGATTTTTTTCGACCTTGAGTTTTCGACGGATTTTTACGTTTTGAGGTCCCCTGAATCCGTTTTGACTATTTTCGCGATGATGTTTGTGTGTCTGTGTGTCGCATAACTCCTGAACCGATACACAGAAAAACACCAAATTTTAAACTTAAGCTTCGTTCCAGAGTCCAGTGAGCTGATTAGATTTTGGACAGAGTCGGAACATCTGGGGGGGGGGTACTTTATAGGTGGTCATTTTTATATTTTATGGAATATATCTGTTATTTACATTTGGGGAAGAAAATTCTTCAAATAAAAGTTACTTCTTTTTCCTAAAATGGTCCGTATTCGAGAAATTTGACAAAATGTAAAAAAAAAGTTTTATTATAAAAATTGTTCAAACAAAAGTTGTTTGTAATATAATTCTTTATAATTCTTATCCTATACATAGTTTCTCTAAAATTGACCGTATTCGAGATATTTGAGAAAATGTGTAAATTTCGAAATTTGAAGAAAACTCAAAAACGGATAAAGAAAAAACATTAAATTTTAAACTTAAGTTTTATTTCGGCCTGACGTAAAATGATTAGATTTTGGACAAAGTCGGAACATCTGGGGGGTACTTTAGATTTTATGGAATAATCTGTTATTTATGTTTGGAGAAAAAAATAGTTCAAATAAAAGTTACTTAGAATATTATTATCTATAATTTTTGCTTTGTCAAAATTTCCTGAAATGGTCCGTATTCGAGAAATTTGACAAAACGTGCAAAATTCTGATTTTTATGAAAATTGTTAAAATAAAAGTTGTTTGCGATATCGATCTCTATAATTTTTGTTTATACATGATTTTTCTGGACCGTAATGGAAAAATTGTAGGAAAAGTGCTAAATTTAAATTTTTCAGTATTTTCGTTTTCAATGAATATCTATAGAAAAATGTTTCGAGGTAGATGTATGTGGAAAATGTATATATATTTAGTTTATCCTCTAAACATTTATGGAGGTGCTGCAATAGGTTGTACAAAATAATCTAGAGATCCTAAAACATGAAAATCTGAAATAATCTCGGAAGGGCACTTTTTACGATTAAAAGGGAAGTAAAAACACTATAGGTTGTTATTTGTTTCACTGACACAATGACAAACATTTTATTACATATTTTTATAATCAGAGTCAATAATTATTGTACTATCATCCATAGCGCACTCTGATTCTGATTCCTGCACAACCCTAGAAGTTAAAGCTGTTGCATTATTGGGGCTCTTGGCTTGTGTTTAATTTATTTTTTTTTTTAAATCAATAGGCTTTGTTCCCTTATAGAGCTTGATTTTTGCTAAACATTTCAAGTTGATATTATTTTTCGTTTTTAGGTCTGGATATTTAAATATTTCAACCCCCCTTAACACCTAATGTTATTCATATTTTTTTGCAAAATCAATGATTCATTTCCAAATAGAGCTTGAAAAAAAAATTTATTAAATATGTTTTAGTTTTAAATTTCAACCCCCATGTTTCTTCATAGAGCCTGATTTTTCCTAAAAATTTCAAATTGATATAATTTTTCGTTTTTGATTTATGATTCTTTTTTTTAATCTCAACCATCTTAACCCCTCATTTTTAATTAGATTTTTTTTAAGCCATAGGCATCGTCCGCTTATAGAGCTTGATTTTTGCCAAAAATATTAAGTTGATATCATTTTTCGTTTTTGAGTTTGGATTTTTTTAATATTTCAACGCCCCTTAAACCGCCTCATTTTTATTCAAATTTTTTCAAAATCAATAGACTTCGTCCCCTTATAGAGCTTGATTTTTCTAGTAAATTTTAAATCGATATCATTTTTTGTTTTTGACTTATCGTGAGGACAAAATACGTGACTTCGTGACATTTTTAAAAGTTGTTTAAAGTTTGATGAGAAGGATTTTGGTACAAAAATTTTTAAGTTTGGATCAGTATTAAATAATTTGGTTTCTCTAAAATAAACCTATAATACTCTTCACAGACTACTTTATGAGAAGTATAATAAATAAGCAAAAAACATCATAATACATAAGAATTATAGGCGAGAATGTGTGAATATCCCGGAACTGGCTAAGAATACAACGGGCACAAATAAACTTATATCCTTCATATTGAAGTAAGGCAGAACTCGATGGAAAGGAAAAATAACTTTATTATATAAAGAATAATATGTGACAACTTTATTAATTAATTGACAACTCTATCAACAAACATAGATGATCATTTTTATATTTGCTAGATATGGTAGTCTAGTCTATTACATCATAGTCTAGTCTACAACACATATTCTAAAGAGAAATATAATGCTATTCACATGCCTTTAGAGTGAAAGAATTCATTTGAATCCTTTATATTCAAACACATATTTTATATCTAGTTTTCGCAATTTGTTGTATCTAACTTTAACAGAAAGAGGTACTTGCAGGGGCGGTTTCTCCATTGGTTCATTTGTGCAGTGAACACCCAGTTAAATTTCATAAAAACACATTATTTTAATATTACATAAATAACATAAAAATATAAATTTAATTTTAATATTTTTATAAGCTAATTAAAAAATATATTTTTTATTTGACATCTGTGACAAATTGTGAAAATAATTAAACTTACAATAAAAACTAAAAAATGGTAGGTAAAGTTTCATATAAAATTTATTACACAAAAATCAATGTCAAGCTTTCTACATAACCTGATATATATTTAAAAATAATCTCAAATTATGAAGAAAAATCAGTTTACAAACTAATAATGTTTATAGATGGTGTTCAACGTATTAAAAACAAAAAAAATATCAGACTAACTAAAATATTCATTTATTAATAGTTGTAGTGTTTGAAAACAATATGATGTTGATAGTAATAACTACACAAACTCAAATAATAAAAAAAAACAGCGATATTGACTCTTGTACAAAATTTTGATCCGAACTTACATATAATAAAATTATTGGAAAAAGTGAACACCCATTTTCAATTACCACGAGCCGCCACTGGGTACTTGTGCTCTTTGTATTCTAATCCATTCATTTCAAATTATACAAAAAGTTCAGTCAAAATTACAAAAGCTACTTCACGAAATCTAAAAGGACGTAATTATGTCAATTTACTAAAAATATTCATTATGTAGATACGAACACTTAGCACTGCTTGTCACAGGCAGGTAAAATAAAAATTTAAAAACAAGCAATGATAAATTACAAAAAAAATTGATTCAAATAATAACAAACATAACGAATAGTATTTAAAAGGCTATAAAACTTAACTGAATGTGCTTTTTTTATTGAACAGTTACTGATATTTAAATAAAAATATTTTGGTTAAAGTAGTTGGTAGTTAACTCGTAAAAGGAATTTTCTTAAGAATTCAATGAAATTGAAATATAAGGTTAATGAAAGCGTCTTTTACGTAACAAAAAAAAAAAACTAAAAATGAAATTTTTTGACCGTCTGTGAAACGAGATATTAACAATCAAAATGTGCATAATTAACACTCTTGAAGCCTGTCATGTACCGGGTGTTCCATTAAGAGAGTATTTCAGAAACTAATAATAGTACAGCTTTGGGGAAAAATATTTTTAATAAAAACGGTCAAGAGATATTGCTGGAAATTATTTTCAAGTTTGTATGGTGGCCACTAGGGGGCGTAATTGTGACGTCAAAACATAAAAATGTAATTTTCTCAAAAAAATACCAAATAAAGTATATTGATGAATATTACTATTTTAATCTTCAATGTTTTCTGAACAAAAGAGCTTTAGGTGTAATTTTTGTCAGTTGTGAAATAGAATAGTGAGGGAAGGTTAAACTTTAATTTGAAAAAATGCTCATACCTCCGGTTTGGCTTTACCGAATTTAGTGAACTTGGTTTTGTTTAGAAGAGCGTTTTCAGCCTCATTTTTAGCTTTATAAACTGTGGCTGCTTACGTTTTATGAACGCCGCTAGAGGGCGTTAAGTTAAAAACTGACAAATTATACGAAATTTTTCGAAAAATTTAAATAGACGATATATACCTTTTTACATAGTTAGATATAGAAAAACCAAAGCCGCGAAAACCGCATTTGGATGTCTCAAACCGCAGATTTTAGCAAAAATATAAATAAAACGTAGGAACCTAACACATTTAATGACCCAGCATTTTCTACTAGGTCCATTTTTTAAGGTATAAATCAAATTTATAAATTTCTGCAAAACCTAATGCCAAACCATGATTTTTAGATATTTTAAATAATCTAAGGATATTAGATAAGAATGCATAATTACTTATAAGTATAATAATCCATTGAGCGTGTAGATATATTTGCATATCAAGTAAGCTTTAAAAACAAAAAAATCTTGCAATGTCAAAAAATCAACAATTTTCACGTCAGAACATTATTTTGTCGTATTCCCTATGTTACTGTATTGTGTTTTTTTAATGCCTTTGTTGCTTGAAGAGGCGGTTGATATTATTGCTCCTTATTTTGAGTGTCTGCAAAATGCGACTATAGCTGCAAGGCTGTACGCGTTGAGATACGGCAGCAGAATGTTTACTTGTTTAGCAAATCGCTTTCGAAACACGGGAAGTGTCCTTCGCCCCTTACACTGCAGACAGGGTACAAGAAGAACTGAGGGAAATGTCATCAATGTTTTAGCGTACGTAGAGTTCGATCCCCAGCTAAGTGTTCGAGTAATTTCGAGAGACTTAGGTATCCCTCAGACTACAGTATTTGGAACATTGGAAGAACACAGGTAATTATTAGATATATTATTATTATTATTATTATTATTATTATTATGATATCCTAATAGTGCTAAGTAATCTTTGTCTTAGCTTACATCCATATCATATTGTGCTGCACCAAGCTTTGACAGTCGCAGACTACGACAGGAGGTTAGACTACTGTCATTGGTTGATAAATATGATAGCGGAAGACAAAAACCTTTTAATCCGAATTTTGTGGACGGACGAAGCAACCTTTCATAGTGACTGTGGAATATGCACAATATGCATTATTGGTCAGCCAGTAATCCCCGTTGGATGCAGGAGGTGCAGCACCAAGGAAGGTGGAGCGTGAACGTTTGTTGCGGCATTTTAGGCACTGAAATCATAGGTCCTTTTATTTGGGATGAGCTGCTTAGAGGGCAAATATATTTAAATTTTTTGGACTATCACTTACCACTTCTTTTAGAAAATGTGCCGTTCGAAACTAGAAGGACAATGTTTTTCCAACATGACGGCTGTCCAGCCCATTTTGCAGCAAACGTCCGTAGATTTCTTGATCGCGCATTTCCTGATAGGTGGATTGGAAGAGGTAGCCTATTTCAGTGGCCTCCGAGGTACCTATTGTTTATGTCAAAATTGTCCCCTCGTTTTTGTTGCAGGTCACCGGATTTAACCTGTCTCGATTTCTACCTTTGGGGAAGATTGAAAAACCTTGTTTTTTGTACGAGGTCTACGACAAGGGAAAATATGATTCAACGAATCACAGACGCTATTCGTAGCATATCTAGAGCGGAAGTGGAAAAAGCTGTTTTGTCAACCAGGGAAAGGTTGGAACTATGTGTTCAAAATGATGGAAGGCAGTTTGAACATTTGGGACGACATTGAGTATTAGGTCTTTTGTTTGTGTTTTTCAAAGCTTACTTGATATGCAAATATACACGCTCAATGGATTATTATACTTATAAGTAATGCATTCTTATCTAATATCGTTCGATTATTTAAAATATGCAAAAATCATGGTTGGGCATTAGGTTTTGCAGAAATTTATAAATTTGATTTAGACCTTAAAAAATGGACCTAGTAGAAAATGCCGGGTCATTAAATGTGTTACGTTTCTACGTTTTATTTATATTTTTGCTAAAATCTGCAGTTTGAAAAGAGATATCCAAATGCGGTTTTCGCCAAAGTATTGTGCTTTTTTTTCTCTATCTAACTATGTAAAAAGGTATATATTGTTGTATTTAAATTTTTCATAAATTTCGTAAAATTTGTCAGTTTTTAACTTAACGCTCTCTAGCGGCTTTCATAAAACGTAAGCAGCCACAGTTTATAAAGCTAAAAATGAGGCTGAAAAAGCTCTTCTAAACAAAACCAAGTTCACTAAATTCGGTAAAGCCAAACCGGAGGTATGAGCATTTTTCCAAATTAAAGTTTAACCTTCCCCACCACTATATTTCACAACTGACAAAAATTACACATAAAGCTCTTTTGTTCAGAAAACATTGAAGATTAAAATAGTAATATTTATCAATATATTTACTTAGTATTTTTTTGAGAAAATTACATTTGTATGTTTCGACGTCACAATTACGCCACCCTACAAACTTGAAAATAATTTTCAACAATTCCTCTTGGCCGTTTTTATTAAAAATATTTTTTCCCCAAAGCTGTACTATTATTAGTTTCTGAAATATAGCCGGCTACCTCTCTTAATGGAACACCCGGAACACAAGCAAGATATCTCGAAAACAATTCTTACTATATTTTTTAAAAACTAAATGTTAATCAAAAAGTTATAAAATTTTCTAAAAAAAAATGCTGAATTTTTGGACCGTTTTGGTATAAACCATAGAAATAGTATAGAAAGCCGATTCCATATATCAAAAATGAAACCATAAGGAGAAAATAGTGTGTCGGAGCTCATGCGTATAACGGTGCTGGCGCGAACAGGACCGGTGCAAGTTTTTTATTGATCGAACAAATAGTTCGCACGATATTTCAATCATACATTTTTAGAGATGATTCTATACAAAAAACGATTAAAATTTCAAGTTAAGGTAAATATGGTTCTGACAGTCCTTATTAAGAAAGATATGGCATAAAATATGAATTAGTTAATTTTCGGCAATCATTAGTACAGTAGTCATGAGATTTTGCTTGTGATTTTAAAAATACTTTCCAGAAAAACCACGTGCTCCGGTTTTGACTACGTTTATTATTAAACAGCGAAATTATATACAAAAACTTTAATCCACAATCTAAATTAGGTACTATCACAAGAAAATCACTGTTACAATAATTAATTACTTAACCAAAAACTAAAATACTTTTTAGGTACCTACGTAACCAGAAAGGAGCTGTACCATTTATCCTAATATTGATTTTCTCTCTCCCTACGGTAAAACTTAAAACAATAACAAATTGCCTATCTACTAGGGTCGGTAACTAAACGTATATACATAATGGGCGGATTTTGTTTATACTTAACATTACACTCGCGCATTTAAATATAACTATGCATATAAATATTTACAAACAAAGATACTTTTCCAAACAGGCAATCATTAGTACTGTAGTCACGAGATTTTGCTTGTGATTTGACATCTTATTTGATAATATCATTTGCTACAACTAAATTTAATCTGGGGAGTGCAAAATAGGGCCCAGGAATATTATGTTCGATATTTTTTTACATTTTGTCAGCCGAGACTATGAGTCGTTAGACAGAAAACCTTTCATGTTACCATTTTCAATATAAATTAAAAAATACTACTACATTTACTTGGTACATATTTTATTTTAATTTTGAACCCTTTTAAAAGGGTCTTTCGGTTCCATAATAAAAATTAGTTGCTGCTTACTAGAAACATTCTATATAGCCTAAACCAATTTATAGTTTGTTTTCGATCAATTTAATACAAAGATTTAAAGTTTTTAGTCGATGATAACATTCCACACCAGCACATTGCAAACCTATTTTATAAATAATAGGAATAAACTTGTAAATCATTAATTTGGTAGTTATCTCACTCATATGATTTTTTTGTTTATATGAATATTTCGATTTCTAAATATATTTTGGCCTTACAATACGAAGCGTTTTGTATCTACCACTTTTTTAATGAACGATGAATGTTGACAGGCGTGTACCTTTTTCGGAACAAGAGGCGTTTTAACAAAGGAAATGATTTTCGAACTATCTAGTTAGTTTTCGGAAAAATAGAAAACGTTTGAAGAAAGTTGTCAATAACAGTTTGTCGTTCATGTGTTTCATTTTGATCAGCTTTCATACTAAATTGCGTAGAATATTTTTCCGATTCAAAATCGAGATTCTCGATATTTCCACAGTTTATTTATAATACCTTCTAAACTGGATTTATCTATCATTTTATATACTTTATAATATATGTTCATGCCCTACTTTTCACTTTATTAATAACTTTTTTTTTACATACTTCAATTCGTTGAAATATTTTTTTATGTATGTTGAGCGATAATTCTTTACCACATTGCCCGATTTCTAGGATTCTTTTTGTTAGAAAAGGAAACAGTTTTATATACATTAAGTCAAGATCTGAAGATGGGATCCATAAGAAAATCATTAACATCTTTATTTTTAAAGTAGGTTTTTTTTTAAATTTCTTTAAACCTTACTGGTTCGAACGCCGTAAGGAATGAAGAAATGTAAATAATTGTTGTGCCAGCCAAAAAACGAAGAGGAAGTACCGATTAAAATATCGAGTGACAGAAGAGTTCCTAAGATTGTTGAGATCGGGTTTATGTTTTAAAATGCCTTAAAACCGAAATCGATGTCTCCCCCGTCGCTGGGCAGCCTGTATATAAATATACAGATCTCTATTTACATAATTATAATTCTTAGGTAGGTTTAGATTTGCAGACATAAATCTTGTAATAAATATAACAGCTGCCTAATACATTGATTACATTTTCATTAGCCAATGTAAAAATGTCTTTTATTGTACCTAGGATTTGACTAAACACTACAAAAAACTAAAAATAAGATGCCACTTTCATCGTGTAATTAATGCCGCGTTTGAGAATCCACATCGGATGCATTTTTTACATCTCGAGCGTTTTTTATTCACATCGGACACATCTGTCCCATTACATTTACGTATACTGAATCACGTGATCAAAGATTTACTACTTACTACATCTCAGATGCATCCGATGTGGATTCTCAAACGCGGCATAAATAATAAACTACAAACGGTCCTGTAAGGGCAGCGTCATATAGCCTTGAAACACCGGATTTTAGTGCTATTGCCAGGTCAATATTGAATTTGTGGGTGAATCGCTTATTGAACATTAAAAATACGGTATTAATGACATTAATACGGTATTTGTATATATTTTTGGGAATGTAATTACACATAAATATTATTAGTTGATTATTTAAATGTTTATAAGTTATTTTGTGGCGATATTTCGTAGATATAAACTGTTTAAATCATATAATTTAAAAATTAATTAATTTAAAATTCTTTTCTGTTAGGTATGTTTAATATATTTGGCAACACTACAGGGACAAGTCATGCTTATTGCGCAAGCTTCTAGACACACTATTTTGCGATGTCAGGCGCAGAGACGCGTTTTTATGCACAGTAGGTTTCAATTTCTGCTTAAATGTTATGTTTATATTGGTCTTCTATATTATTTCTATGGTATAAACATATAGATTTTTAAAATAAAAATATTTCTAAAGCAGTCGACGCGTAGTGGGGTACAATGATTATAACTTGGCAACATTGTAATCGCTACACTTAACGCGCAGTAACTCAAATGTCTGTTAGATTACTTTAGACTTATTTTGGTTTTTTCGGAAACTAGTTCAGAGTCACTGAATTACACTCGATCAGCTAAGAAGTTGTTATAACCTCGTGACGTGTTCTTGAAAAATTAATTCGTCCACTGTTCTGAACCAAAATAAACCCTTTGTAAGTATTAACGTAATGTAGGGTTAAAAAATTATCCAAATACATGTTTGCGCATTTTTATTAATAGTTTAAATTAGAATAACAAAGAAAATAAAAACGTTACGTCATAAATTTCTATAGGCATACTCACTTGATAGCCCAACATTCACATATTTGCGACGTTGCCGGATGGATTTTACTTGAAATAATAACGTATCCGTATATATAAGCTTACATGTGTTGTGTAGTCTCCTTAGATAAAAGAAACAATAGATGATGCATTTCATTCATAAAGTATGTTTTGTTTGGTCTCAATCATTGGAAAAGGGAAAAAAAAAATTTATGCGGATTGAAAGAAGACAGACTGTAATCCAAGATCTCGTCTGGCAACGCTGCTGTTACACGCAACTAAAAGTCTGTCGATACCAGTGGCGTATCTTATTAAAGATAAAATCATAACTTACTATAAAAAAATATTGAAATACTAACCTATATGGTGTGCAATAAACTTTATAATGGTTTAAACTTAAAAACAGATTGGATTTGGAATAACTGTATGAAGTTCAGTAGAATGTAGGTAAAAAAACCATTTTTTTTCCAAGAATATAACAATATTTATTACATATAAAGATGTTAAATAAAATAAAAACAAGATAAATAAATCAAGATTTATTTTAAACAAATGTACGAATCCAATTTTGGGGTTAAAATTTGAACAGTTTTATAAATTGGTAAATGACAGATTTTTAAATCAATTCAGATTTTTAACACTAATAAATTTAAAAAAGTTATTAAATCAATAAATTTACCATTCTTATATACAAGGTAGGGATTTTAAATAGAACGCTTCTTATAGCGGATCTAGCGATAAGAATTTTGTAAAATCCGAAAACACGTAGAACTGTACAACAATAAACCTGCGTTAGTGTTAGGCGTTGAAAAAAAACGGTTTTTTTTTAAATTTTATTCGTTTCTGAACAATATCACTTTTTACTCTACTTTTTCTTAACATATCCAACTTTTTTGTGGTCTCATAATGAATG